CCACACATAAGCTGTTATTTTAGTTTTCTAATAATCCTCGCTGTATTGAAAGGAGCTCTGATGACGTCTCATGATAAGCCGACTTCTTTGATCTGCCCACATAATGGTCGATTTGTCAGTTTTAGCCACAGTGGAGACGAGGGCAGCTGATCAACTTGGAGACATTTAAATAAACTGCTAATAAATTATGCCATGTCAATGAACCATGAGTAGAACTGATCACCCTTTTGTTTTGCAGCTCAGCATACTACAAATTCTTACATTTGTGCAACACTTTGCAGGGAAATGACTGCCAAGCTAGTGGAACTTTGCTGTTGGAGGTTCTTCTATTAAATGTAACATTGCTGTATCATTACAATTTCTACAACCATACTTCCAAAACCCTACACAGGATTATGCTTCAAATCGTCCCAAAAAGAAAGGTGATGGGTGGTGCATATGTCAGCATGATTGAATGAATGTAGATCTTTAAGAAACAAATACCAATAGAGGGCACAAAGTTGAAAACAAATCTAACCACACTACTGGAACAGATGTGCATTCCATTCAGTCAAAGGACTTTGGGTTTGTGACTCGAGGATCAGTCTTTGCACTAAAAACGTGGAATCAAACAAAACTTTTAAAAATAAATGAAATTAAGATTACTTTTCATAAATTTAATTGCTTAAACACATGTGGCGATATATTAATAGAACTCAGATATAGAAGGAGAAATTAAACAGTCTCTGAAGCAGCCATGCAATTATAATGCTTCAAACTAATTGCCAGCGACCAATCATATCGTTTGACTATCTGGGGCAGAACGGTAGTTTTTCAAACACGGGCTATCTGTGGAACCAGACCACAAGAAAAATGTCATTGTTCCGGTACATCTTAGCACTTTGTATGTGTCTGTTTGAGTGAGTGCTAAGCATATTTGAGATGTTATGAACTGCTTTTTCTGCCTACCTTTCTGATCGCACATCTAATGCATTATAAGGCATTAGTAGGACATTAGTAGGACTGCTTTCAAAACCAACTGAAGACATTCTGCTACTCATTTAAGAAGCTTCATCAGCACTTCTGACTTTGTGCTTGTTGCCTTTGCCTTTCTGCTTCTACGACTCATTGCTATCCTGCGACTTAGAATAGAAAATAGAATAGAAACCCTTTTTATTGTCATATACATATACACATACACGAAATTTGCCTTCTGCATTTGACCCATCCCTGTATATAGGGAGCAGTGGGCTGCCAATGACAGGCGCCCGGGGAGCCGGGGGTTCAGTGTCTTGCTCAGGGACACTACGACACGTGACACGTCCCAGTCGAGGATCGAGTTTACCAGATCGAAGTTACCAGACAACCCTCTTAAGCCAGTGAGCCACGGTCGCCCCGCCTTGGTTGACTAAGAGTCTTCCTCGGCAAATTGAGACTTGTATTTCTAGGCTTGGTTTGGAGCAATAAGGAGCCACACATGTCAGATTTTCAATCAGTCTCATGGGGACCTTCCGGGTTTGTGCTACAGGAAAAAATAGTCCTCATACAGCGCGGCGCACTGCTTTTTTAGACTTGAATAGATCCTTAATCATGCTGAAGTATTTTTGTTCTTCCAAGGTCGGGGGGGGGGGAAATAAATCTCGTTTTAACCCAAGGCGAAGGCCACTCATTGCCACCGCTTTAATGGCAGCAAAAATAGACCAGGTACTCCACCTCAGACATTGGCATAATCATCAGCGCTATGAACCCGCCTATGGAAACACTTGTCTGCCAGCCACTGAGAGGATATGCCTGGATGAATCTAGCCCCTATTGTCCTGGAAGCAAATGGCCTTCTGGGAGACCTTGAGCAATACGTGGAAGTGTGTGTGTGTGTGTGTCTGTGTGTATGTTGTTGTTGTTGGGTTTATACAGTATTTGTGTGTGCATGCCTGTAGAGAGGCTACTCTGAGCGGTCACACAGCCCTGACACACGATGACAGTGTCACATAGTGCCTTTCATATTTCCATTAAGGTGTCGCATGTTTGTATCCATAAGTGACAGCGTTGCTTTTCTGCCGACACATTTTTAGTTGCATCATGTAGAAGCAAATGGATGCCAGTTCAGTGACTTGAGTCTGTGGTTTTGCAAACCCCCGTCCAAACCAAGCCAGCTTAAACTACTAAGAAACGTCAAACTGCTCTCTTCGAAGAAAAGTTGATCGCACTTTAGCGCACAGTGCCAAGCAATGATGGAATCAATGCTATTTTCATGGAGTGGGGTGGCCTGGATACGCTGCGCCCGTCGAAGCCCACACTCCCTCCTCCCGATGCATTAGACTGTGCTGCTCGCCTCCTCTCCCCCTGCAGACAGTGATGGATCTGATTCATTTCAATGGTGGCCTCCAGTGCTCAGTCCCATTCGGCTGGGTGACAGTGGCAAACTGGTGCTGGCTCCCCACATATCTGCCCGGCCAACACAGCCGAGCGGGGGAGGAGAGGGGAGGCTGCTGTAACTGCCGGGAGCCTGTGTCGACATTTAACTTCTGCTTTTCTTATTAGAGGTTCGCAACTGACCTTAAATCCTTCATTTACAATCTTATCTTTTCTCTACTCTGAGTGTATTCAAAGTTGCTCTGGTGACTTCATTTCCCTCTTCAAACCACTAAGCCTCCTGAAAACGCTGCATCTTCAGCGCTGTGTTATTGCCTGTAATGGGAGTTTAATGGATGGAATCTAAAATTCACTGTTACGTCTCCTTCTCTTTTTGTTTCACACACTCTCACAATAGGCCGTCTCATAGCAACTGATATATAAGTCAAAACTTAAGTACACACTTGTCAAAATGTCTCTCTAAATTGCTTATCTAAATGGATCAAAAATGTAAAAATGTCATAATTCCACCTTTATAGCAATAAAATTACATATAAAAAAATATATATTTTTACTGTTTCTGAAAATGTGTTTGTCTGTGACCTTAACTGTCTGCTCAGTGTCAGTGCGTCTACCTGTCTGCCTGCTGGTGAGGGATTAAAGAGGACAGCAGAGTGACTGGACCGAAGTGATAGAGCTCACTGAACCTTGGGGCTGAGCCTTCCCCGGAGGGACGTGTGTCCTCTCCCCTAGTTTTGAAAGGGGGGGGGGGAGCTGTGCAGATCGAAAACAGCCCTGTGTTTAAAAAATGGGGCTGCGTTGGTGTGTGGGGGGGTGCTTCAGGTACCGCTGGACCGATGTCACATAATCCAATTCAGTTGGAGTCATGTTCATTAACCTCAAGGGTTGCGAGATGCAAAGACATTGCCCGGTGGTTTATAATATCATCATGGAAGGGTAACACTGCAGCATTGTTTTATTTTTCATCACGACAATCAGTGGTAAACCCAGCCCAGTGTTGCAGACTCTCTTCCAATGAAAGTAGCTTAAAGCACTAGCTCCCTCACAGCCTTCGAAAGCCACTTCCCCAAAATCATAGTAATGGACATAAACATATTATAATGAATGGTATACAACGCACATGGCTACTGTTAGGACTCACAGCTGCTGAGCTAGCAGCTTGTGGACGACTCCGCTGACCCTGGTAGGCAGAAAGATAGCCCACTCAGTCCACATTCTTTTCTCCTTCATTTTCTCAGAGCATTTGATTCATTGATTGCTTTCAGAAGTACTTTGTGCAAGAGTATTTTCAACAAATATAAGAAAAAATGTTTTTGAAGAAGAAGGTCAACATTTGCTGTCCTCTCTCGTACTGCATGGTATGACTCACTTCTTTTATGAAAGTGAGACTTGAGGAGTTTCATCAGAATAAATTTGTTCCTGTTTTTGTGCCAAAAAAACTATTTAGTAGATGTATGCAGTCCCCATGTAAAATTTGCGAAAAAATGTTTACAGTCCGTCATTGTACTGGTAAACAGTAATGCCACAATGTATGGCAATGTATGTTGCTGTGAGAATTCAACTGTAGTCCCTGGCTGTATTTATCCCATGTTCTACCTGGCAAACTATGGAGCATCACAAGTTGGGGGGCACTGACATTAAAACAAGAAGAAAAACAAGCGCACGGGGTGTCGGGGGTGACGTGTGGTGAGAAGAGAGCGAGACGGAGCGCTCGGAGGGTGAGGGCTTGCAGGGAGGGTGAAGGGCAGAGAGGTGGGGGGGGGGGGACTGGGGCTCAGCGGGGTACTCCAAACTGACACACAGCCACAGGACACAGGGTCCAATTAGAGTCACGGCAACACTAATCAAACCTGATCTACAACCTCTGGCTGCAGGGCGAGTGTCAACGTGTGTGAGTGTGTTGTACTCGCACATGAATCCAGCAATCTTGAAATACACTCACACTGTGCTTGGCATATCACACTGAGCTAAATCATGCTGCTTTTTTACTCCGGCATGTGAAAGAAAACAGAACACAAGAAAGGGATTAGTTCAGTATCACAACGGGCATTTCAACAAGCTGAAATCCCCATCGCCCCAATATTCGTGACTGTTGCCTAATGACAATACATATTCCTTCATCTGCAGGCCTGTCAATCATAACTCAGTAAAGTGCTTCTTAGATATCATATCAAGGCCCATGGTGGGCAAAGAAAGTCACACAGAGAATGGGGGGGGGCTGTTTGAAGATTTGCATGGTGGTGTGGTCGCTTCATAAAGGTCCTCCTCTAGCTATCTCAAAGCAACAAAAACCTATGGGGGATAGATTAGGGCCAGAGGCAACCGAGAGGAAAGCTACTCTCGTTTATCATCCAGTGCAGTTGAAATGTAGCGATCCCTCTTCTGCATTCAACATGTCCTCCACTTGTCCACGGGATTAGAGCATGCATGTGTGTCTGCCGGGTGTGTGTTTACATCGTGCGCCTCATGCTAAATGTGTGTACACGTGAGGGAGGTGAAACGCAAGGGCCATCTTGGAGATGTGGTAGCTCATACTAATAACAATATCTGATTCAAGAAATACAGTATGTAAAAGACAGACCGCATCCTTGTGATGCCAAATTAGGTCTCGAGCACATCAGTGTGACTCCTCCCTGACTGTTAGGCTACCTCATTGTTTTTGGACACGTGCCGGGCCACGATGAGCTGAATCATCCCCCGCTTGTTGCCCTCTACGGACATGGATGTGCGCAGCGTCTCCATGGCGTCCTGGTTGGTCATCCCGTGCAGCGACTCCCCGTTGACTGCGATGAGCTGGTCGTTGACCCGTAGGCGGCCGTCCTGCAGACAAAACGCCAAGTTATGATCTCAAATTCCCATCAATTCCTCCTGAATACTGCTAGTGTTAGGTTTGAACAGGAACGTGTACATTCAGCAGCTGCTCCTGAGACACTATTTGTGTGATCACATGCACCCTCTTCTCCAAGAAAATCCCTATAAATCCCATGGCAAGATCACAATCTTGTCTCCGTATTCATATCCAACAAAACGTTTGAATAATGGAAGTTAATGATGTAACAAACCACTGGTATTTACGAACACTTGAATGTAACAGCTCAAAGATATAACAAAATATTTCACATTGTTGCCCAAGGAAATCCTTGTAAGCATGGTAGTTATGCCACTTCAGCAGCAGTAACATCAAGTGACCACTTCAAAATCCCCATGAGAAGGACTTTAAATGTAGTCCACCTCATCTTCTTGTAGGTCCTCGAGTTACAGCAAAAACGAAATAAAACAAGGTCAAGGTCAGAGCGTCAGTGGGTGGGAGCAATTACTTGCCTTGCTAGCAGCGCCTCCGTTAATAATGGATTTCACAAAGATGCCCAAGTCGGCGTGGTTCTCCTTGGACCTGTTGCCCTTGACGCTGACCCCCAGCCCTGCCGAGCCGGAGTCACTCAGAGGGATCTCAAAGGTCATGAACTCTTGTGTACCGTCTGGGGTTAGGACCATGTCATCATCCTCTGAATGCTGCGGGTATTAAGGAGAGAGGAGGAGAGAGAAAGTGCATGTTTATCATGGCTGTGGCACTGCCGATGCTAATAAACTTTTTCTGAAAGTGATAAAGAAACTTCTTTCAGCCTGATGACTCAACATACCAACCAAAGTTGGCAAACTGTTGTTGAGCCCAACTAGTCACTGTTACATTCAAATCTCCCTGTGAAGTATCTAACTTTAACTTTGGTGAAAAGACAGAAAAACAAAGGGAATACAAAAAAAAAAAAAAGGACAACAGAAACTAGCACGGAACAAAAGTTGAAAGAACGGGGATGGTGAATGACAAGAAAATGGGATAAAAGATAAAGAGGGGAAAGATGAGGGGTGCAGGAGAAGAAAGCGAATGGATGGCAAGCGTGTCACATGTCTCGGGGCTGTCATCGCCAATTGGCCGCACCGTCTAGCGGAGCGCCGCTAATTCCTTTCCGCCGTCGTGAGCTCGGCGCAGGAACAGTGGGCACGGCGGAGAACTTTGAAAGCGCCAGGTAGCAATTTGGCGCTCAAACAACAGCGGCTTCCCTTTGAACAACACCCCTTTGAAGCATAATTTGTGACACGTTAAGAGCCCGACCCTCCTTCCCCCAATGCGATCCACGGGCCTTTTGTTGGAAATTACCATGGCAGCGTTCAGTTGCAAGGCTGTTGCTGCAGACCTTCACGCACGGTACAAACACAAAGAAATGGCTCATGCCAGCTGCCAGAGAGGTGTGAGAGAGTACTGCTGAGTGCCTAACACCCAGCACGATCAAATCAGCTGGATAATAGTCCGACAAACAACAACTCCCGTCTCTTTTCCGACAATTTCCACTGGTGTCTGACAAAGAGCATCTGTAAAAGAATATCAAAAAGGAATAGCGTTTATTCATTTTACTTCCCACTTGCAGGCAAACAGAAAGAGAGAAAAGGTGTGGGAGAAAGCTAAAACACAAGAGGCATCAAAGAATGGGCACTTTCTCTCTTATGTTGACTAAGAGTTAAGAATCTTTGAGAATCATTTCCGTTCAGATTGTTCAGCTATGGCCGACATACTGTAGCAGAGGGAATGTGCTGGAACAGAGCGCTTTGATCTCAGTCCACAGTTGCTCTTCCCTTCACAGTTTGACAGAAGAAAGTCTTTATTTCAAAGAGGACGTAACAAGTCTTTCATTCAGACATACAGGCCTCTGAGCTGCAACCGCTCCAGTTCTTGGGAGTTCGTTGCCTGCCTTGCTCAAGGGTACCTCAGCAGCCGTTGTTGAGGGAATGAGGGTGTTCCCCGCACACGTTCATGCCCGGCAGATAAGAGCCGAGCACTGTCCGGTCACAAGCTCGCTCCGCGGGAAGCTGGAGAACAGCGCTGTCGTAATGTGATTGGCCAGGCTGCACTGTACGTGTGTAGTCATTGCCATGGCAGCCAAATCCACACGAACAATACTGGCGGTGAGAGCAATCAACCCCAGAAAGCCAGCGCAGGACCTCTTTAAATAGACTTGCATCAATACGGACGCATACGCATACATACACACACACACAGCCAGATGGATGGCAGCCAGGTGTGTGCCCTTCACAGCTGCTCGGATAAAGAGTGAAGCAGAGGAAAGAAGGGAGAGACAGATCATAAGGCGTTTCGGAGGCCGAGGAGTTATTAGGATGCAGCGGTGCGTTCAGGTGGAGGCTCTTTTCAACACCCTCTGACCGAGCCCCTATTCTCCAGACGTTCCTCCTATCTGCCCCCGTTTCTTTTCTCTCTGCTCTTTCTTCTCCTGTTTTCAAAATGCCAGTACAGCTGTCCGTACAACACAAGCCAACCGGGCTTTGTCCCTTGATTGGACCCACGTTAGAATTCATACCACTGGAATCCGTTTTTTCTTCCCATTGTATTACAGAAATCAGCGGCTCTTGTCGGGAAGTGACCCTTAGCTTCCCCTCAGACGGCTGAATGAAGCGGATAGGGGACCGAGAGGCAAAAACAAATCCAGTGCAGGTGTAAATATAACGCAACAACAATGTTTGACTTCCAGCTTGTAAAGGCAGCGGATCTATGGAAGCAACCTTAACTCAATTGGTGGGATGTGATCCGTTGGTTTCCAAAGCAGGCCCATAGCAACGCAGCAAACGTACAATTTCCATTCTGGAAAGAGCGCTCGTGGATGGATGGCCTTGTGCGTCATCGGCAGGGTCAGTCTTTATCTTTAATGAAGATGTTTTTATCAAAATACAGTTAATAAATAATGGCTGTGAGTTATGTCCCTGGAGAGGCTTTTAGCCCAGCAGTTGAACATAGTAATACATTGGATTAAAAAAAAGTGCTTTGGACAGACACAGTCTGAGCCTCTGTGTGTGTGTGTGTGTGTGTGTGTGTGTGTGTGTGTGCGCGCGCGCGCCCTCTCTTCCAAAATGATGACAGAATAACCACCCACTCAGAGCGGCGTTCCGGGAATAGCGGGCCGAGGCAGAGAATGAGAGAGCAGTGTAACATTTTCATCAGACAGGAACAAGCGCCGCTAGCCCAGAATGAGTTTGTCAGGCTGCTTGACAGGCCTCGTTGCACCGATTCAGCTCAGGCAGGGCCGGTTTTCAACTGCCTCTGAACAGGAGAAGAAAGAAAAGTCACCTCATTGTTCCAAGCTGAGCCCCGTTTATGCACCTGGGACGGAGAGAACAAAAGTGACTGACGGAAAGATGAGCTGATGTAAAAACGCTGAAACGATTGCATGCTTTAAAGAAAAAAATAAGAAAAAAGCGCACCAGGAAAAAGTTGTAAAATGTCTGCGTTATCAGCCACCATCCAGAATTATTAAGTGCAACATTTTGGGCTCAACATGTTTGTCTCAAATCTAATTATTATTTTCTCACTTCTGGTCTCTGTCAGGAAAACCCTTCTGCTAACATGGAGTGTAAAAAAAAAGTCCAAAATTGCCTCCTAAACAGCAGAGAAAGCTGCACTCACTAATGATGGCTGAATGTCTCCAACACCTCCACCCCCTTACTCGCTGCTAAAGACAGGAACAAACTGCACCTGACTGGGAAGACACTTGGCCCTGCACAACACACTTTTGAGATTATATTGTCCAGTGAGATTTCCAGCTCAAACTACAGAATCACATACAGATGTGTCCCCTCTGACAGTACAACTGGAACAAATAGGATGGGATGTAGTCTGAACCTCAGGCAGGAAGCAAAGGCGTTGACTTCTTTAGACTGTTGATTCATCTATATCTGATGTTAAGTAGGGAAGAGTTGCCTTACCGCTGGCACACCTTCCTTGCTAAGTAAATGCCAACATGACCTCATCAGAACCAGCATCAGAAGACGTCATCGGACAGGGTCTCTCTGTATGCACAGGCCTCCCCAAAAAGGCATCAGCGAATGGGGCAACCCTCTGTGCTCAGTCACATTTCATTCAGTTACATTCTAAATCAGATTCAGATTGTATCGCATTTTTGTACAACTTTCATCAATCAAATTCGCTAACTCTATAATCAACGTACTTGCCAACAAGGGAGGACACAAATGTGCCAACTGGTGCATCTGGTAGGTTTTAATAATATCGTTATGCTTTATACATTTATCTGATCACATTATGCTATGAAATCAAAGTAAAAACAGCTGCTTGATTGAAATATTGTTGACTTGCAATGAGAACTATTAATTTGGGGTTGAAAGTTAATGTTAGACACACAGTGGTTGTTTGCCTGACATGACTTCACATGTGCGTAAAATGAAATCTCGGAGAAAGGGGAAGGCTGTGACTCTGCCCGACATGTTTGCGTCTTCCAACATGCACGACGCTCGTCTAAATGTGTGCACTGTGAAGCTGTGTTTATAAGTGTTCTCACTGCAACAAAGCTGTGAATTGTGCATGAACCGTCCTGTTTTCTGCAAGTGATCTCTACGGCCTTGAAGTTGTTGTCAATGGTCCACATTATATTACTGAGTGTCGTTCCCTGTTTGAAAGGAAGGCGTCTAGAAGGTTGTGTGTCGATGATGCAGCATCACAAAGTCACAACATGATGGAAAGATTCCATGGCTGGCAGCAAATAATGCAATGTTGCCTGGTGCATAAAAGGTGCTGCACTGCACTCAGGTACCAATCATTAAGGTTAATACTAAACCATGTTGAAGCAGAGTGGTTGTAATATCATTATTATGAGATTCCGAGTAGCTCAAGTGACTGTCCACTTGGCCAGCTCATCACAAAAGAAGCCCATGTTGTTTTCTTTTTGCTCTCTCTCTCTCTGACACAGCCATGCAGTGACAGTCCATTACACGATTAAGTCCTTTATTAATTAACACTGCCACGGGGAAGCACCCATTCATTACAGTCTATTGTCCTGGTGGGTGGGGGGGTAGGAGGGGGGTGGAGGCAGCGTTTGAGCAGGGACACATGCAGGTGAACGGAGGAAAGCGTTGCTCATCAGTCCAGCTAAAGAGCCCCGCCTGCTTGATGGGCCTTTTTTTTTTTTGGTTTTGTTTCTACCTCGCTTAACTTGTCACGCGCTAATAGGAGAGGTGTGCTGGATGTGTGCACACGCGTGTGTCAGAGACACCGAGCCGGCGGGAAAGGCGCGAGTGAGATGCAAAGGGAGAGAGAAACAGAGAGTGCAAAATGAATCACAATTACATCTATTCACACATAACTCTGAGTTCTCCGCACATCACTGCCTAAAACAATTAACACCGCTGGAAACTTCCCTCCACACTTGGCCCAATTTGGCGACATAAAGGTCATTGGAAATGAATTTAAAAGGGCTAAAAGAAATCAGCCATGGGTGTAATTGCAAAAGTGGTGCATGCGTGATAAGTATTGTAACACAAATTCCTTTTGGCGGTGTTTCTCCTCGCAACATTTTCCGACAAAGGTGGACGAATATTAAATACCTGTAAGCCTAAAAACAAATTTAATTCGAGTACAATGAGGGGCTGAGAGGGGATGCTTTTACACAGCACTAAAGGGCATGAAGTGCACCGCTGGCAGTGGCAAGTCTTAAGTG